ATACATACATACATACATACATACATACATACATACATACATACATACATACATACATACATACATACATACATACATACATACATACATACATACATACATACATATATAATAAAAAAGATTCGAGTTTATTAGAGAAGCAAAGAAAACAAAGGACACAGAGGGGGGACTAGGCCAAAACCCTCTATGAAGCAACAACGCAACCCAAAATAGGAAGCGAGATAAAAGAGATAACTACCCAAAAGTGGTAGAGAAATCAAAGAAATTACATCCAAACTACAATTCCCAGATGAATTGTTCCTGAAGAGTAATCATAGTCAGGAGGGAGTTATGTAAGTAAGGCCGTACGTGCTCTTTTTCCATCTTTACGAAGTTCTCCCGTGTGGCCTAAGAGTACATAGCGGCCATGATAGCTTTTAGAACTAACCATGGGAATGGACTTCCCAGTGGCTGGATCTGTTGAGTATGATAGAAATCCTTCCTCGTGTATGATTTTGGAGCTCCTTGTTTTGGTCCCGGAGTTATCATGTTGTTTAGACCTTGGAAGTTCCTTCTCTTCTTCATTCTGTAAAAGTATAGAATCCTCCAAGGCCTGGAATTTGTTGCCAATGAGAATGTTCGAGTTAGGTACAACACTCTTTTCATTTGGTGTGTTTGAAACCTGATTTGCAGCCTTAGAACTACCGTCTTTGGCAGCCCTAGAATCGGAAATAGCTACTTGTTCAGTAGCTTTTGCCTCCTGATTCCCTTCCCCTGAACAAAATTCCACGGAGAGTAGGATTTCCAAGGATAACTATTGTTTTGTTTTTGGCTCTACTTCAGGTGGTTATGGAGCAAGGTTCCTTGCATTCTTTAGCGATCTTCGTAAACCTAGCAAAATTAGCCTTATACTCTGGAGAGTTGGTGTCAATCGCCATTCGTTTAGAATCAATGATTCGTTTTGCAACCCCTTCCAAATCCTTTTCCTCAGTTTGTATCTCCATCTGAGGTTTGGTAGAAAGAATGGAGTCCGAAAGCTGACCCAAATCAGAGTCTGGAACAGTATTAAGATGTCCATTTTATTTTCCAACATGCACAACTGGATCAACCAGGATATCAACATCAAACAAAGCCTTAGAAATAGAAGGCTGTGAAAATTCCGACTCATGACTCGTACTCCAGTTCTGGCAAATATCATAATCTGAAAAAAACTTACAAGAGTCTCTAATGGAAGAACCAATTTGCCTTAATTTAGCAACAAAAAGCCTAATACCACTTTTGTTGGAACCTTCAGGAATAACTATTGAGGTAAAACCATCAATCCTCAATTCTTGAATTCGAATGTAAAACCCAGAAGAATTGGCATCAAGATAGAGACAATATCGCTTGTTACCTTCACTGTGTTCCTCAGATCGTAGGCTAGCCGTGGGGTTGAAGATTATTCCATCTAGACAGTTGCAAATCCACTGAAGAACATCATAACTGGTCCAAAATCTATAGGATTTTCGTCTAACTTCTTCACATATTTGAACCCTTCCGCACTTCGATTTCTCAAATCGGTAGAATTTGGCCTCAATTTTGAATCTGGTTGGGGAATAAGAGAATCCTGTATCTAATCCTCCATGTTTGCCGATATTCTCCTTGACACCATCTCCTTCGGAACTAAAGACGGTCCTCGTTAATTTCCAATCCAGCGGATGAATCGCTGGTTTCCTAGGGTTCCGCCATGAAACGCGACGACTTAGATCCCCGCCGTGCAGATATCTTCTCTCTAAACCCATCATATATCATATACTCCCTCCGTCCGGAAATGTTCTTCCCGTGTTGACTTGGCACGCTTATTAAGGAATAGTAAAAAAAATGCAAAATTTTCAAAAATGCACATACTATAAACTTTTAAATCTCCTTTTATTATTAAAAAAGTACTAAAAAAGTATATTTGTGATAAAATAGAAGGGTACTATTGATATTTATTCTTAAAAAGTATACTAAAAAAGGAAATGGGAAGAATATTTCCGGACGGATGGAATGTGTGTGTATATATGTGTGTGTGTGTGTATATATATATATATATATATATATATATTAATTTTTATTAAGAGAGTTGAAAACACACGTTCGGGGAAGACTAGACCGAAGCCCCGAAAGAAGGAATGAAAACAAAACACACAACTACCCCATACAACATCAATGCCAAACCTCCACGTTCATGCCCGACTTAAACCTCCCCGCTTCCAGCAGTCACTTAAGCCAATGGCTTCCAGGCCATTAGTTTTCATAATTCCCGTTCTACCTTTAAGATTTTGAGCCCAACCAAAACTAAACAGGAAAAGTGGAATTTCTTCCGGTCCTCCAATAGGTATTGAGCCCCCAGCCGTTGAAGTCAGCATCATGGCACATCCATTTTTTGTTGCGGTTCACCCAGCACCATCCTTGGAGAAGTTTGAAGCATTGTTGAATAACACCCTCTATTGTGGATGCTTTATCTTCGTAGATGTATACATTCCTAGCTTTCCAAAGGCACCAAGAAATGATCCCTGGCATGATAAGCCTAACACACCCCTTGAAGCTTTTTGTGTTGCCTGAGATCCACCACAAAAGGAGGTTTTGCTTAAAGGTGAGTGGAGTTGCAATCCAAGGTCCAGCTGCCAGATGATTGAAGTAGTCCCAAATATTTTTGCTGAAGTAGCAGTTTAGAAGAGTGTGGTCCATATTGTCCTCATGTTGTGCACAGAAAGGGCAAATACTTGGGAGCATGAGGTTAAATC